ACGCTGCGTACTACATAAATCTGCAGAAGAAGATGGGACTTTTATCCACAGATCAAATGTTGTATTCTGATCCAAGGACTAAATCTCTTGTCAGTGCTTTTGCTTCCCAGCCGTCAGTCTTCCACCAGCAGTTTGGAGTGTCCATGGCCAAACTAGGGAATGTTCAAGTCGTCACCGGTCAAAACGAAGGCGAAATCCGAACCAATTGCAATTTTGTCAATTCTCATTGAGACCCTTAATTATAATGAGAAGCAGTCTCAAATGCTTACCTTGTTTTGCTTAACCATATATATGATAATATTTGAAATTGTTTTTTTTTATTGTTTTATGTACCACCTTAATTACAGCTAACAGCTGGTTTAATACATAATTTACTTGTTCACACATGTTCAAGCTTTCTTCTCTCTACAATTTCCTATTATTTCCCATTTGTCTGCTGTTCCCCTCCTGCTCAATTATTAGAATATCAGTGTTGACATATATCTATTTTTGATATTTTTATATCTCTACTCATGTGATCATTCATATTAAGAAACATCGTTATATAGGTAGATAATTATTTACAACCGGTTATAAGTAAAATTTTCTCATGCATTAAAAAAATTAAAATAAAACAATCTCATTTGATATATTTGAGCTAGCTTACAGTACGACCTAAACCCTAATTTGATGGACAAACAACGGGTTTACGCATGAGAAAGAAACTCTTTAGCCTCACAAAGCCTTTCTTCTATTTTCCTTTTTTCCTTCTCCTCTTGGCTGGGTAGTGGTCGTAGTTCACTGTTATGCGAAACTTTATATGGTTCCTGAAAAAATGCAATAAAAGAAAAGAAGGGCCTTGTATTTTAATTGAATCATCCACAAACAATCTTTGACACCTCTTTATCCTCTAGGGTTAAGCAAGCATCTACGACTCATGCTCTGTGGGCTCTATTTTGTCCTCTTCCCAAGGAACTGTGAAGTTGTTTGCAGGCGCGCCCTCACTGTGTCAAAAAGGTCAAACCAAGCAAACTATCCCTTTATCAGGCCAATAGAGAAAAAATTAACTTAAATATATAGTATCTTTAGATAACATCTTAACATCTAATCCAATTTCTTATTTAACATAGAGTAGTGCTATTCACATACTTTTTACCTCCCACACACCCTGTTAATTTTTGTTATTGATATTTTTCAATTCATTCGATTCGATGATTAGAAATTGGAAGGAATGTGTGAGAAATAAAAATGAGCGTGTGGATAACGTCACTCTCAAATTATCTTAAACATCATAAACTATGAGTTAAACCATACGTTTAATTTTTAATGATCTAAATATATATATTGAAATGAATATATGCTGTAATACAGAAGCTAGAAAGATCACATTTGATGTTTTGTCTTGTTTATTTTTGTTCATTTTTAAAGAAATGAATCATCTTCAAAGACGTGGAAAAGTAGTCCACAAGCACCTTGCTTTCCCCTTTTTATTTTTCAGACACCTATCTCTCTCATATTTAAGCTTTCACAGATACAAACCCTACAAAGCATTTCAAATCTTGTACCGTTTCTTTTTCTTTTCCATCTTCAGCTATGAGCAGCCTTAGTCTACAAAGCCAAACCTTCATTTCATCACCAACCTAGATGCTGCTCTGCATGATTTTCAACTACAAGTCTAGAACTTGCTGAATGATTTGAATACAAGAAAAAAAATCGTTTTGCATGGCTAGTAATTATGCAAAATCACCTACCACCACTTTTACAACCCTCCTCTTCTTTCTTCTCATCACATTTCAAATCACCATGGCTAAAAAGAAGCATAGCTTCCCAATCCCACCTGTCAGTGGTACTTCCTCGAGATCACATGGAGTTGGAGTCATCAGTAAGAAAAATGTTATCGATGAATATGCTACAAGAAGATCCTCACATGGCATCATCGATTCAAAGGCTGATCACGAGTTTACAGGCGAATCGGGACGAAGGAGAGGACTAGGGTTTCGGGTTCGTCGTGGGAGGCAGCCATTCCCATGGAAAGAAAATATGTTCAGAGCCGGTGCACATGAAGTTCCAAGTGGTCCGAATCCCATTTCAAATCGGTGAGGATTAATATTGAGGAAGCTAGCAAAACAAAAGTGATCAGAGTAGATATATATGATCAAGAAAGAAATTTATTAAAAAAAAAAAAAAAAAAAACAAAGAACATATATAGTATGTGATTTTCTCCTTCTTTGTGGCTTGTATTTTCTGCCATTTAAGTTATATGTCGCTGCTGTAATGTCACTACAACTTAATCATATGTTATTTTTAATTTATTATATGCTAGATATTTGGAACTTTCAGGCAATCATTTTACCATTATAACTAGGATGTATATATGATAATATTCAAGTAGTAATTGTTTTCATGGTATTCATCATTATGCTATTTCTTTTTTCTCCATAATCATCTTCCCTCTTGCCACCCACATTTTCCATTCTTTTGGATCTACATAGTAAAAAAATTATCGGTTATTATTGTTCGAAAATGTAACCTTTCTAACATTACCTAAATGATTAATCAAATAATTTTTCTCTTTCTCCCTTCCAATGGATTAATGCATATAATACTAGCTAGGATGAAGTTAGCATGTGCTTCTGGACTTTGTTTATCAAACGGTACAATCATCGGTTACTAATTGGAAGGTACCTCCATAAAATCAATTGGCAATATAGAAAGTAGTCCAATTGCTTATAAACACATGTAAAATCTCTCATTTTCCCGATATGGTATTCACTCTCAACTGAATGAAAATGAAATGAACTACATATAGCTAGGACAAAATGTTCGTTATTTGAATTTTTTTCCCCTTTTTTTTTTTTTTTTTGAAAAAAAAAACAAGCATGTTTCTAATTAAGGTATCTGATGGGGAATTGCTTTTTTGCTTTAATTGTATCAGTTGTCAAAAGAGAAAAAAAAGTAAGAAAAAGTAATTGGGTTTTGCCTTTTGAAAATGTTTATGTGAGTGGGTTAATTATGTGTCATTTTATTGGCTAGAGCTAGCTACAAATAGCTATTTTGTTCCCCTGAATTGTGGATAAACAAGGAGGAGGGACATAATGATTCACAAATTGTGATGGGGCTTTGAGGCTTTTTTTTTTTACAGACTAGACTTCACTGCATATATATGCAATAATTAAAGGGATAATTAAAAGGAAAATAAAGGTCCCCCAAACCCCCATTGTTTTGCGTGTAAAGTTACACAGACCTAGCATCCAAAGCAATGGCGAAGAACAGAAGTAGGGTTTCTCTTTAAATTTAATTTTGCAAAACAACCCTTAATGCTTTATTGGAACTACATCGATGCCCTTTATCAGTCTTTGGGAGTCTCTTCCTTTTAAAAGCTGAAGCTGCTGAACCAAAACCATGATCAAAGGGTGGTTTTCATCCTCACGTGCCTCATGCAGTACTGTTTTTATCTTCTTCTACGTGCTCTTGTTTGCTTATGAGCAGAGCTACTTGGAACTTTGGCAATAAGTTTGCATGATCTTCAATAATCATGGAAAATATTGACCAAACTCTGTATATTGTTCAAATTTCATAAATGTGGCCATGCATGTAGTTCATGTTATATATGAAACTTCTTTTTCCATGTTCCTTTTTTGTAGAAAAAGGTATGTAGGCTAAAAAATATATTTGTTATTGATACGTGAATGTGAAAAAATGGAAGAGAATGCTTTTTTTCTCATTATCTTTCTCTACAAGATTACAAGGATATATATACATGATACAAGTGTGTAGGTAGGACAAGGTAGCCGTCCTAGTGTGTAGGTAGGACAAGGTAGGACGGCTGTAGAACGACTTGACGGCTGTAGGACGGCTAGTGTGTAGGTAGGACAAGGTAGGACGACTGTAGGACGACTTGACGGCTGTAGGACGGCTAGTGTGTAGGTAGGACGGCTATAGGACGGCTAGTGAATAATATTATATACAATTACACAAGGACTCCAACCATATTCCTTATTTGTCTAACATTTTTAAGTGATGAACTACTATGATATCTCAAGTTCATGCTAATTACTCATAAATTACCGTTCAATTATCAGTCTAATGTAATCTTTGTACGAAATGTTAAACGAGACTCTAAGTTCGAATCTCCATGCTCGCTCATAGAAAACTACTAAAAAATTGATCGTTCTAAATTTGTGCAATGGATGCATCATATAATTGGGCTTAATTTTATTTCTATGTGCAATGCAGATGATCTCTCGTCTCTTTTGTCATTTAACCTCTTTTATATGTGGATGAGAAATATATTAGTGATGAAAGTGAGTAAATATCTGCAATGTATATTCCATCATCCCAAAAAAAACCCCTTTGAGAAAGCATGCTTAAGTCAAAACAAAGACACATAAGTTTCCTAATTATGCTCTCTCTCTCTCTCTCTCTCTCTCTCTGAGACGGTGTTATTGTCAAGAGGAGAAAGATTAGGGTGGTTCCCCTTTGGAATCAAAGCATAATTCTGTCATCACTTTTGATTTTGAGTGAGTTTTTATCACTTTAATAAGAAACTTTTGTGCCAAAGACTCAAGCAACCCTTGCCCTATATATACCCCTGCCATATGTGAAAATCTTGGGTATAAAACACGAAGATAGAAAAGTCACCCACCGAAGAAAACACCAGCAGTCAAGTCATCTAATAAAGAGATGAAAAGAATTGCTTGTCTCCTTTGATCAAAGTCATCAGAGTCTTTTCTTACCTCTCTTTATTGCAAGTGGCCCAAGTGTAATGTAACCACGGTCTTCTCTCTCGCAACCGTTTCACCAAATTAAATGAGTGGGTTCAATTTTTAACACGAAACATGCACTTTTTTAACACGGAACAAATTAGTTGACGACACCACTTAGACTATCAAATGATTGTGACAGAATCTCTCCTTATGCAGAGCTATAAACACGACATGCAATATCACACTGCAAAATCAATTTGAATAAAAATATTTAAAATAGTCACACTTTAATTCCTTGCTTCATGGTCAGAAAAATACTGATAATTAAGATCGTCACTTCACTAGATTCCACTATGATTTTACAAAGTATTTTCTTTGTTTGTTACAATTGGTATTAAGGGAGGACCAAAAGGCAGGATTCAAACTCTGGCCCAATGTGGCGTAAGTGTAAGGGTAAATACTCTCAACCAACGGAGGTACAAGCCTCGACACGAGTACTATTTCAGACTCAGTATCTACCTGCTTTTAGCTTTACAAAGGAAATAAAAACAAAACTCCTCGGAAGGCCAAGACCACCAATCGCTCCTTCTTTTATCTCCTCACCATCGCGTTGCTCTGCGTTAGAGCTCATAATGCCTTCGGCATGGTGAGCATCACTATAGAAAGAAATCCCAAGCTTTGAACATTTATAAAACTGTCGTGAGAGCAATTTTGCACCTTTCACACTTGCCAGTGCATGTAAAATAGTCCTTCCTGTGATCCAATCCATGCCCCCAAACCATAACTTTTGGAATCAAGATATTCGTAGTTTGGCCTGTCATCCCGATCTCCCTTAAACCCTACGGACGAGTAGAAAATTAAAGGTCAATAAGATGGAGAGGATGGCAAGAAGACTGAGAGCACAAGAGAAGTAGAGGGCACGTACTTTCAGCTCTTCGCCAGCACACAGTTGAGGGGATTGTGTTACAGAATTTATCCTCGAAAAGCAGTTTACCAGACTTAATACTCCAGAGTCGTAAATTGCAGTCCTCTCCGCCTAAAAGAAATATATATAAGAAAAAAGTTGCCAAAATAAATGGTGTGAGCAATAATAATATTCACCTGACATAACAAATCTCTCAGATGGGTCAACTCCAAGCTGCAAACGAGTATGGGAATTCACAAGCCCCTCGTAAGATTGTACAGCTCCTCTTTGGATTAGGCGTTGGTCGTAAAGCTTCACCTGAAAAGACAAGAACTAATCAGAATGACATTGACCAAAATCGTTGCAGCAGCAACCTTAGAAAAAAAAAAAAATCACATCTGGATGTTTTTGCCTTTTTGCTGAGGTTACTTACTACCTAGACATTGACCCAGTTCTTTTTCTTTGAGAAAATTGGACCTCTAGTCAGGGAATGCAAATTTTTAGTGACTGCTAGATATCTGACGTGTTGAGAGGAACATGGGAATGTGTAGATGACAATGAATTCAGCTCAAGCAAGGATAGTAAAAAACATTCATGTTCTTATTGATGATTTTCAAGCGTTACATATCTAAAGACCTGTGTCACGAGGCATAAGAAAAGATGCTGAATAAATTAATATCTATTGTGTTTGAACTTGGAAATAAAAACTAACCGTTCCATCCATGGAGCTCGCCAAAAAATACTGATCATCAAACCGAAGTGATACCAAACTGGAGTATCAAACCAGAGTGAGCAGAACATATGAAAAACATTAAAGAAAATAAACCGATCCTATAAGATAATAAAGCCTACCAACCTTGCAATAGATGAAGGCATTTTAGTGGTATGAGAAGGATGTATATTTCCAGTTCCAGAAGGCTGCACCAAAAGATACTCAGATCATTATCCGCACTTTAATTCTTACGTAGAGTAGAAAAGTAAGCTACTTGATTGTAATAAAATTTAAAAAAAAAAAAAAAAAAAAAAAAAAAAAAAAAGAAGAAGAAGAAGAAGTAAGCTACTTCATATTCACCAAAAAGACAGGAAACAAAAATAATTTAAGCTACTTGATGGAACAGAACCACCCCACAGTAAATCAAAATAGTTTCATTAAACCAATTCCACATGGAGAAGAAGAATTAGCTACCATATTAAACAAAATAATTGATAAAATCTCTGAGTTAGAAAACATCAATACTTTACAGATATGAGATATGATTTATGAAGATTACTTGATTTGTAAAAACAGAAAATAAAAATTCTGTCACCAGAATAAAGCTACAGTCTGTTATATCAGCAATGAACTTTATACCTTAGACCGTTGTATACTAGTTATTCCACGCGTGTTATCCAAAGGTGAGTGACGTATTCTATGTCTAACAGGTCTTACAGGAAACCACCCCTGTTTCTGACGAACATCAACTGTTACAATTGCTCCATTTCTGAGTCCACATAAAACAGCATTTCCCTGCAAGAGATGTACAAAAATGAGGTCCAGAAATTATACAAAAAGTTACTACACAAAAGTTAAGCTATTCCATACGAATCAGCAAGCCTCATGATGCTTTAGAATGTGCATTAGGCTTTGTATCAACCATAAATAATTGCACAGCGGGCCCAGAATGGAGAATACTATTCTGAGCAGTATAGAGATCAGTGACAACGACATGCCTAGAAAGACAAAGTTCGACCTTCAATAACGTAGACACTACCGTAAAATTGCTAAGAGTATCCTGCAAACTAGACAAGAGAGTAGCATCTGATTGGTTGATCACTGGCTAAGATTTCTACTATAACTAGCTTATGGATGCATGTGTACCTCACTACTGCTTGAGCGCATACTGCTGACCTCCAATAAGACATTCTCCAAATATGTAGATATCATCTAATAGCAGTAAATATAGCGGAGGTGGTACAGAATATATGGATGCTTTTGGAGTATCAAATAAGAATAATAACTTAACAAAGTACAACCTGAAAATTATAATGCCTAAAGTAATTACTAAGAGTTGAACATCTACTAAGTATGGAATATTAATTCACTCATTACCCATAGCGTAACTGGTTAAACCCTTTATTCCAAATGCATATAAACTCAGGCAACTTTAAAAGATTTCCCAAAAGTCTCAAGTTATGCAATAGATTACCGAGTGAACAAGTTGTTGTGCCAAAACATCACTTTTACTGTGTAACAGCCACGATGCGTTCCCAGTTTCCAAATCCACCAGAGCAGCTCCCAGGTTGGTTCCTGTAACAAACAAAAGGAATAATCTTTAACAAAGTTTCTTCTAAAAACTGTTACCTTCAAGCGTACTCTGCATACTACCCGCAAGAGCAACACCAAGGCAAGAAAGAACTGTGTGTGTGTGTGTGTGTGTGTCTGCACATGAAATTTCTCGAGAAACAGGGTCCTTGTATTTGGAGACCAGGTCTCCAATCATGGAGTCCGTTGATAAGAGAACATTAAAACCACCTTCATGACTAGCACTGTTTACGATATAATACGATAAACAGGAATAGTACTTACCAATCACTGCATGACTCCCATCAGATTCACAATCTGTAGTCCAAACAGTGCAGTTGAAAGTTGCAATCTCATAAATATTTTGACTTAAGACAGTCCTATTTGGATCAAAGTTTAGTAGTTCATGGAGGTTAATAACCACAAGAGATCCACCAGAGTTCTCAGCTCCCAACGTTGATATCCTGTTCTCTTGTGTTAAGGTTTGCAGAAGTAAACATTCGTTTTTTCTTCAACAAGACACACCAAACATTGTTTTAGATAAAATTGAAGGTAAGAAAGGCTAGAAATTATTCTTAATAGTTTTAAGTCCAATAAATACACTTGTAAGAGTACAAACATCAAACTGGTATTCTATATTAACCATTACAAAAAACTAAGTCTGCAAGGATACAACATATGCTGGATGCAAGAACTATCATCTTCTGTGCCAGGAGACTGTTTTCCAAACATTTTTATAGAAGATATGTTTGATGGCATTTGTGGTGTAGTGTGAGCTGGTTTCCATATTTGCCCAGGCACCTCACTGTACTCCAGTTGACTTTTGCTAGAGAGAGGCCAAACACATTCTGCCTTGCATTTCATCCCGTAATTAAGACCCTGCCCAACTTTTCCAACTTCAAAAATACTGCAAGAGCATCATGTTTCAAAGAAAGTTACTAATAAATTATTTGAGCAAATACAAAAAAGATATGTGAAGAACCACATAGAGGACAAGAATTTCCAAAAGGCATACGTGTAATACGAATAAACACCAACACTTGAACAAGCAGATTACGACAGAAACGAAACAAGAAACTATTTTATTACAAAAACAAAAACTAGAAATGAATATTTAAAACATTTTGAAGTAGGAATTCCACATATATACTAAAAAGATTGTCATTGATCGATCTCACAGGTGCCACAAATTCAATAGGAGTACTGCAAGCAAGGAGCCATATATCTAGAGAGGAAAAAATGCTCAGCAGGGCCTGATCTCACAATGAAAATTGTTAAAACTTAGTTGCAGAAACCAAGGTCCCCAATTTTATAATGAAAATAAAAAAGCGTACATAAGAGTATTATTCAATGCTAATACTATTTGTGGTATTATATTAGCATATGTTAATAGTAACACTGCCCACCCAGGAGTAAGCTAATGGATAGAAAGGTGAAGAGAAATATTACTTGTGTGATGGTAACACCCTTGGCATGCCGATGTAGTGTTACGCATCCACTTGAATTATAGAACATGTTGGCTTTAGGGTTTAACATAAGGGATTCTACATGTTATGATTTGGGTGGATTCATAACACCACGTCGACATACCACTTGCAAAAACTTATCTGAAGAAGGAGCCAATTTCTGGAATGCTACCAGCTTTGCTTTGCAGCTTTTTAAGGTATTGAGTCATCAGAAATAATATTAGAACCAGCCAAGGCAGCTCATTTCTCATGTGAGGCCTGAAGGACCATGGTGATGAACTTATGTAAACAGGTCCTTATTGGTGAAGGAAAAGGCCGCTAACCTTCTGAGCTACAGGATAATATGGATTATGAGCAGGTAAAAGGTTGTTTTCTACATTACAAATAGTGAACATGTGATGGCTTAAAGGAAAGGAGACGGTCAAACTTCTAATTCCGACATCAGCCATGAGTTGGGGATATTAGGATGCCTTAAGTAAGACTTCCAAATCCAAATTCCAATCGAAGCTAATTTCTTAAACCTTTCCATCATTTGATCTGTTCTGGTCAATCTAGATACATGAATCTCAAACATCAACCAAAACACGTTCAATGCTCTCAACCAGCATAAATAGTTATAGCCAGACGTATTTACATACCATATACCTTTAGACACACACACACACACTAATTCTTCAGTACCTCAAACAAAATGTTTTCGAAAAATCTGCTTCAATGAAGACCCCATTCAACATTTTGCGTTTATAACATGATAAATGGACATATCTAGAACAATACGTTGTAGGCTGCTTTGAAATAAGTAGACGGTCCTATCCAAGAGATGGAGTGGTTTCTACTACATTGTTCGGTTGTTCCGTGACTCTCCAAAATGAAACAAAATCTTGTCCTTTTATTCTTCAGTAGGAAGGTAATATGAGTTAGATTCATATATGAACAAGTCTTTTTGGCTTGGACCCACAGGTAACAGGACACATGTATTAAAGAAACCACATTATTCAGTAGCCATGGCACAAACAAACTAAATACTGCATAAATTCTCCTAATATTCTGACAGATCCATTTTCAAATTCTTGGAACACCATAATCAATCGCTTTTTCATGCTACCAACTATTATCAATTTATCACAAAATTTGAACATATTAAACAATCTTAAAAGACGAAAAAAATGCATGAAAAATAACAGCAGGCTGAAACTTTTTTCTACCTTATAGAGCCATTCATGCCACCTGCTAATACAAAGTCCGTATCAGTTTGACCCCCTTCTGTCTGTACATCCATGCGAATCCGCTCCAAAGCGCCATCAGTTAACTCTTTGGTTTCCTGATACTTCCAAACCTGCAAATTCGTAGAACACATAAATAAAACAAATTACAAATTTCATGCTGTACATTTATTGCTAGTTTCCTGCTGTAGCCTATATGTTGCTGGATTCTAAACTTGGCCCTGTATGCCAAATAGAGACTCACAGAGGCTTACAATAAAATTTTAAAACAAATATATACTATTACGTCTGATGGGCCAACAACATCTCTATTAAGAGGGAAAAAGGATATCCATCTCCTTAATAAAAATAGAACAAAAGAATCTTTCAGCATAAATTAGGGTGCTAATCAAGCTGAAAGTAAAAACTGGAAACAAGTTGGTGGAAATCATAATTTTTTGAACATAACTGGTAACCTTAACTTTAAAATCTTAAACCGAAGGCTTATATTAATTCAACATACCACAGGATGGCATGCTTGTGCCTTTTGGAATTCCTCATTGAAGTTACACCTCCCTTTATTGAAAGGAATGAGATTACCGCATAACTCCCTAGCCTGAAGCATCTTAGAAGTTCTTACACTGGTTCGCCTACATGAGTTGGTCACCTACAACAAGATGAATCAGAACCAAAGTTAAGTATTTTGACAATTACGTAAATCACCGAACCTACAGCATAACAAAACAGAGAAAAAGAAGCTATGGTAGTCTCAGAGAAGAAGAAACAACTATAAATCCATGTGTTTAATAGGTAATGCAATGCAAAACTACATACAATATAAGGGATGTCTGCCTAGAAATTCACTAGTTTATTTGCAATCTTACAACGGTGAACACAAATCTATGATCAAGGTCATTAATATGCTAACCAAAGCAATAGAAAATAATCACTACAAGAACATGACCTTGCCGCTATCACACTCATTAACCAACAACAGATTTTACTCCCCTAACCACTATATTTGTCAAAGTCCTATTATGAGAACAGCAATTGACACTCCAACATAGTCATCATGCACTCGTCCCAATTAAACAAACAATAAGTGAGTGGCGAGCGTGTATGACTATTTTGGAGTGCTAATAACAATTCCCTAACTTTAATATGTGAATACACGGAAATTCTCGGCATGCCATTTTTTTTTTTCTTTCAAAACTAGCTTGATTCTAGTGATTTGTAAAGAACCTCGTATACAACAACAACAACAACAACAACACCAAAGCCTTTTCCCACTAAGTGGGGTCGGCTATATGAATCCTAGAACGCTATTGCGCTCGGTTGTGTGTCATGTTCTCCGTTAGATCCAAGTACTCTAAGTCTTTTCTTAGAGTCTCTTCCAAAGTTTTCCTAAGTCTTCCTCTACCCCTTCAGCCCTGGACCTCTGTCCCGTAGTCGCATCTTCTAACCGGAGCGTCAGTAGGCCTTCTTTGCACATGTCCAAACCATCGTAACCGATTTTCTCTCATATTTCCTTTAATTTCGGCTACTCCTACTTTATCTCGGATATCCTCATTCCTAATTTTATCCTTTTTCGTGTGCCCACACATCCAACAAAGCATCCTCATCTCCGTTACACCCATTTTATGTATGTGTTGATGCTTCACCGCCCAACATTCTGTGCCATACAACATTGCTGGCCTTATTGCCGTCCTATAAAAATTTCCCTTGAGCTTCAGTGGCATACAGCGGTCACACAACACGCCGGATGCACTCTTCCACTTCATCCATCAAGCTTGTATTCTATGGTTGAGGTCTCCATCTAATTCTCCGTTCTTTTGCACGATAAATCTTAGGTAGCAAAAGCGGTCGCTCTTTGATACTTTATGGTCTCCGAGTATGACATGAAAAATTCTCAATAAATAAAAAAAAGTGACTAAACAAAGCAATTGGAACACAACATTGAACTCTCAATCCACCCCCAACCAAAACATAAGTAGCAACAAATAACATATTCAAGTAAAAAACTCACCAAACATAGAAACATCCTGACCAATGTCAAGCTTAAAAACAGTAAAAACAACAAAGTTACAAACCTTAAAACAGGCAAAACTCCTAGAAAACACGCAAACCTGGAAAAGCACAAAATTTGGGTTCAAAAGAACAACCAGCGTACCTTGGCCGGCGTCTGAGCGCTGGAAGAAGCAGAAGAAGAAGCAGGAGCAGTCATACGACGAGATCCTGGGATTGGGCCCTTGATGGGGAAGTACCTGTTCTTCTCCGGATCATAGTAAAACCCAGGAAGATCTGAAGAAGCCGAATTCATATTCTGATCAGTATTTTGAGAAAAGCCCACAAAAATTAAAGCTGAAAAAGTTGAAGGGATGATGTTATATGGTACCTCCTGCCATGGTTTTGCAGAGAAACAGCAACAGAGAGAAACGTTGAAGGTGCTGTGTGTTTTGTGTTGTTTAGCGCAGAAAAGGAGCGAAGGTAGTGTAAGTGTCGAAACGGTGGAGGGCTTCATGCAATACGGTCACGAGTGCCGACCATAACCTGCCAGTTGGTGACCAGGCTGCTGAGGTGGCGCCGTGGCGGAGGCAAATGTTGGGAGATTGGGACCTCCATTTGCCTTCAAACCTTAGGGTATTCTATTAAATTGGGCTGGGCCCTGGACCAAGGGTTTGTTTTAGTCCACCCAAATCCAACTTGGGTCGAGTCATCCAAATGCCATAATATGAGTAATTTTCTAGGCTTATTTTTAATGAGAACTTTCATGTAAAAAATTTGGATTAAGTTTATTTTAATAAAAATCATGATATACATTTATTTAATGAAAAAAAACTTAAATCTTAATAAAAAGGATAAAAATGAAACTTAAATTTTAAAGAAAAAAACATAATTTTAATATTTAAAAAAAAACTGACGCACGAACCCGCCCGCCCCTCACACAAACTGTTTATGAAACTTACTACACTATTGTTTGGACCCAAATTTACATCATCGACCCGTGTAATCAAGGTTGTTGAGGGAGCATAGTTCTCAATCGTCGGATGAAAAAGTGAAGATAATTTTTGTTATTGTTAAAGGATAATTTTATGGTTTTTATCATAATAATTATCTTTTAATATGAATTATCTTAGCATCTTTTCAACCAGATAAATAGAATGCGAATTATATCCCAAACAAGCAGTACAGTTCAAATTGATTTGGGATGTCTGACGGGACTTGGAAGCTAGAAATGAAATTGAAATTCATTTAGATAGGGTTAGGACGCATGCGACAATAAAGATGATGGCTTTGGATGATGATGAGACAAGCCTAGGTAGACTAGGCCTTTTTGCATGATGATGGATGTTGTTAGATGGGTTTAAAGCTATTGTTGGAGTTTTGATAAGAAGCCTAGGTGAGTTAGGCTTCTGACGTGATGTGATAAAGCTTAGATATGCTTTATTTTGTTGAATATGCTTTGGCATTTCACACAGATCAATTTTAGTTTCACAGAGCTAGAGTTGTAGTTGGACTCTACAAAGTATCAGGCTGTGCCAAGCAAAAGACAGCCATTATAAATACAGAGTCGCAGGCAACATTGAAGCTCCTCCCCAATTCAACACACAAATTGCCCTGTTCAAATCTCTCAAACATCTTGACATTTTTTATTTTTCTTTTTCCGCCAACACACCTTCAGTTTAGATAAACAACACTGTGAAGGCAACCGGTGACATCTTCAGTTTGGATAAACAGCACTGTTGCCGTAGAATTAGCCGTTCTTGGAGCACCTTCACTTTGGATAAACAGCACTGCGTCGAGGTCGACTGGTTATCTATCCAAGTCTCAGTTGAGAAAGATTTTCAAATCCTTATTGGCAAAGGTCATCTCATTAACCATCTCGACGAAGTGAGGTGTTACAGGTTATTACATTCGGCACATTGAAAGCCGAATTTGATATTGAACTTCGTAGAACTAGCAGTCTTGTCTTCAGGCTCTAGAACCCGAAGGGCAAGGCGTGTTCCTTCCTTGGCCCCAATCACAAGATCAAGAAATCAGCAGCGTGCTTAATGCAACATCAATACATTTTACTCCTTAGCCAAGCTCGGCCGACAAGTTGGCACGCCCCGCATACAATTGAAAGATGTAGTTAGCTTATTAATTACTCGGCCTGCGCGCCACATAGGTTTGATAGTTTTTAGGGTAAACAATTGTTTATGAAACTTAATGGTACTACACTGTTTCTGAAACTTACTACACTATTTGTTAAATTTACTATACTATTTATGAAATTTAATGGTACTACATTGTTTATGAAACTTAACAGTACAACATTGTTTATGAAACTTACTGCACTGTTTATGAAACTTAACGATACAATACTGTTTAAGAAACTTAACGGTACAACACTTTTTATGAAACTTAACGGTAGATGTTCGTCCCAGATTTTCAAGTTTTTTCACCAAAATGCAATAAAAAGATTTAAAAAAAAACATGATAGAGATCAACGTCTATGCCATTAAAGTTATGCATGGCTAAAAGATAAAAATAAAAATAAAAACATGATAGAGATCAACATCAATGCCCACACCTGACTGACTTCATCTTAACCATACCACCCTAAATGTGGTTCTGAATCGAACGGAACCCACTTCAATTTGAAATTTTAATTTTAGAGGAAAAAAATATACTTAGATTATGTCAAAGGGTTATGCAACTGAATGATTGGTTAGGGCTGGGCACGGGCTGCGCCAGGCCCAATTTGAAGGGACAGAACTGAACCCGGGTTTAAAAGAAATGGGTCGGATCAGGGCAGGTACAACAAATTGTAATACAGGAATCAGACCTTACCCAGCCCGTTTGAATCAGGTCGTGTCCAAGGGTTTTTTTTTTTTTCTCCTCTTCTTCTTTAGCTCTCCTAACTAGTTCGTTCAGATCGAAGCAGTGGGCAAGTGCATAATCTACTGGGATGGAGTGATCTACTGCCACGTGTCACCAAATTTGTGACGAGATCGAAATCCTCCGACGACGATAGCAACGAAGTCAATGGCATCGAGGACACTATAGGACCTTGAAAAGCTTGGCAACCATGGGACCTGGAAAAGAGGGGTTGGTCTTCGATGATGAAATCAACAGCGTCGATAACACCAACTCCTCACTCATTCTCCCACTCAAATTCGTCCTCCGTCTGGTTTTAGAACTTGTCCTGGAGGCTTTCTAACTCCTATCTGCAATCTGAACCATTTCAAATCCCTAATTGCGCGAAGACTTTAAAGAGCTTGAAATGGTCGGGGACGATTTCACTCCTGAGGCTGTCAAGCATGAAGCAAACCTCACGGCAGATGGCATCGTCTCTCAGATTAACGAGTAATTTTGTGGTGCTGCGGGAGCACTGGGTGCAGAGGAGAGAGATGGCCTCCTCAACATAGTCGTTTAATCGAAGCTCCTTGACGGGAAGGCTGTCAAGCAAGGTGGAGAAGTCGAGGGTGAGCTTAGGGAAACTGTTGGCGAGGGATTATATCTGGAAGAAGAGCCATATTCGGCTTCCGTTTGAAGAGTCTTCGATGAAAGTGTGGATCCTTTGGAGTAGGATGTAGAGCTCCCGAAAGCAGATAAAGGCAAAGATGGAGAAGATGGTGGTGGAGCTTTTGATGATTTCTTCGAAGATCATTTGGGGTGGACATCGGTTCATGCTGGGGGCCCGTTTCTTCCAGGATTTGGACCTGCGCCGCCCTGCTATTAACTTGGACCTGGCCCACCTCGCCTTGTGTTGAATTTTAAAAATTTGGACCCACCCCGATCCGCGAGTCCAGGACTTGTTTGCCTACCCCCTAGGATTGGTTGGGTGCTCTTTGCACACGCCTTTAGTTAGGTTTTTTTTGTTTTTTTTATTTTTTTTTATTTTTCTTGTCTTTATCATTAAAAAAAGTTATAACATAGTTTTTTTGTTAAAACTCAAAGTTTTGAAACCATTTTCATTAGTTTTCCTTATTTTTAACTACGCTTCCTAAAATTTGATTTCGATCCATTTTGGTACTTGAAATTCAAAAGTCACCATTTTACTCCTTGAATTGGTAATATGACAAACTTATGTCACGTCAGTCATAAGTTGGCCCTAATTATGCCATCTAAGTAAACTTAACGGAATACATAGAAACAAGCTAAAGTGGATGGGATATTGAGTTCCAGGAAGTAAAGTGACGGCTTTTGAGTTTAAGGAGGCAAAGTGGGATCAAAATTGAGTTTCAGAAAGCAAAATGGCGACTTTTAAATTTCAAGGAGTAAAGTGGGATTGAAATCGAGTTCAAAAAGTGTAGTTAAAAATAAACCTAATTATCTATGAGAAAAGTGAGCATGCATTTGACGAAAAAAAAAAAGTGAGCATGCGTAAAGATGGGTTTGTGCATCTTTAAATTATCACTTGGACTATTCACTTCCAATTAATATTTGTTCATAATTTTTTCAAGTTTGATCATGTGAGTTGCAGGATTCAATTTTTTTTTTTATGTCAATTTCATCAATTCATAACAAAGTGAAGGTGAAAAACGGAAACGACCAATTTTTCATTATCAACTGATATTATCATGGTTATCACAAACATGGATTAGTCAAATAGTGTTAGTCAATCATCAATCTTTAACAAAATTTCAAAAGATGGAGGTGGGTAAAGATTAGTATGAGAAAATGAGGGGAGAGATTAAATGATCATAACCCAACTTTTGGGAAAGTGAAAATTTTATTGTGTCAGACTTTCAATGTATATGGTATCTTATGTTTATAGGATACTCCATAGCATACTAGGTATTCATACACGAAAAGATGTTTGGAGCAATGAAACATTGTCAAGTATCCAAAAGACGAAGACCAGCCGATCCTCAGGATGTGGAAATCTTTAATTTTTGTTTCTGAAAAAAATAAATAAGAGACTTAGACATCAAAGACTTTATTTTGGAGTAGAAAAATATTAATGAGACTTTCCATCACCTCATCTTTTTGGCACAATGTTTTATAATGATGGTATGGAAATTATACTAAAAAAATGAAGTAACGGAAAGTCCATGAAGAGTCTCACTTATGAGGGAATCTCCTTAGCATTTCTCTTTGGAGAAACCTAGTGGGACAAAACCAAGGCAAAGAAGAAAAGCACCACACCCGGTTGGATTTCGAACCCAATACAAAGTGGGTGAGAGAGAAACTGCAGCACACGCGAGCCACTCGATGGGCAGCCATGGGTTGCACGCTCTAGGGTAATGATTCCATGGGAACAACTTGATCAGGTCGTAACTTCCTCCAAACACTAGGCCTTCATCACTTAAATCAACTTCTAATTAACTAACTTTTAATTTAGTAGTATTTATCTTTCAAAATAAGTTTTAAGCTCGAATTCTCATCTCCCACTCATGAACCGATCGGAAAACAAAAAAGGAAATAAAGGTCTAGATACATGGTCTAAGCTCGAGAGGAATGCAGTCGTATTGGTGGTGCGTTGTTCATATTTGTTTGTCAACAAAAAAATGGCGTTTCGGTGGGTAACTGCATGATGATTTTAGCAACGAAATTTTAAAAAAGAAAGTACTCTTAAGTCAACAATTAATATTTGCACCATAGAGTTAATTAGTATTACG